TTGAAGTTACATAGAATTAAGTATAGTAGACATTTGAATTTGCTAAAAGGTAGGAATGTATTGATGTCATTTCCTGGCATTGAGTAAAGCAGCAAGGCTAGCTCAGCTTAATCTCAGGGGATGAGAAAGAAAAATTAACCGGAAATGCAGACGTAGCCATTTGGCAGTCAGCAGAAGTATGGGAAAATGCGAACGAACAGTTGATGAGGGAAGTGGGAGATGGATAACGGTCAGAACCGCCGGAACTTTGAAGATTTATCGTTCTATGCGTACTATACTCGGAGTCATTGCCTCAGCGCTTACCTGTTATCAGTAGCACGATCAGCTGCCCCTTGCCCATGGCTTCAATTACCTCCTCGTATCTTCAAAGTTCCAGCAGTTCTGACCGCGATCTATCTCCCACTTCCCTTGTCAACTGTTCGTTCGCATTTTCCCATACTTCTGCTGACTGCCTAATGGCTACATTTGCATTTCCGGTTAATTTTTCTTTCTCATCCCAAGAGTAAGGTGAGCTAGCCTTGCTGCTTTACTCAATGCCAGGAAATGACATCAATACATTCCTACCTTTTAGCAAATTCAAATGTCTACTATACTTAATTCTATGTAACTTCAATTCTCTACATTCCTAATTTACCATATGTTAACTAAAATTAATTCACTACATTTTCCCCATTTGAGGGCCTGCAGTGGCCGCGCGGTCTGAGGCGTGGGTCTTGTGCCGCTTGGTCGCGGGGACCGTGGGTTCGAATCCCACTCAAGCCATGGATGTTTTTCTGTGTTGTGCTGTCCTGTAAATAGGTAGAGGCCTTGCGATGGGCCAATCCCTCGTCCAAGGAGTCCTACCGAAAGTCCATAGATCAAGCCAACTAAAAAGTTGGGGACCCATAAAGGGTACTGGAAAATGTACAAACATTGTTAAACCGGAAAAAGAATTTCCCCATTTTTAAAATGGAAAGTGTCCTCACTTTCCTTAACATAATTAAATTCACTACAATTAATATGAGTTTTATTTAAACTCTGCATATTCATATTTTAAAATATTACCTGAATGCAGAGAAGCATGCCATTTGATGGAACAGTCTACCCTCTTTTCCTTGACCAAAGCTGCTTCAACTATCAGCTTGGCTAGCATGTCACTCAAGGCAACAGTATAAATCAAATCAACTGATTATCCTGAAGACAGTGACCAAACATTAAGTTAACTGCTGCACATTAATTTGTTTCAAATTTCTTTGTTTTATACAACTGCTAAATTAAATTCATACACGCATCTGGCATTTTACAAGTAGAATAATATTTTTACAACAGCAGTAATATTACCATCATGTGTATACAGCTACACCTCTTTTTTTTTGGGGGGGGGGGGGAGAGAGAGAAAGAAGAAATTGTTCCCTGATAGTTATTAAGCACCATGTCATGCAGATATACGGCATAGCTCTACTCATGCCACAGCTGCTTTACCATCAAGAAAAGGGCCTCTGAAACCCATTGTATAGGAGGCTGGGTAGGCCCCAACACTGGTCTTGACATGGAGGCCATGAAGAAATGCTTTGCCCCTGCTGGGAATTAAACCCCAGTCACATTACCCATACACTGACTGAGTTAACTTGGCTAGGGGGGAATGGATTATTGCAACTCCTACTCTCATTCTGGGACATGCTGTAGATTCTGGAATGTTGACTTTATCCTTGACTAGATGGAGGCACTTAGGACCACCACAGAGGACTGGGAACTGCTTCCTATAAGGGTACCCCCCCTCAAAAAACCTGTTTTATGCATTTTCCACAGGTATAACACTAACAAACTAACAATACCAATTACCTTTCCCACTTCAATAAAGACCTCATTGTTAAGTCACATTCGTTCTATCATAGTTACATTGTATTTGCTAACATCTTAGACAACCACCATTACTAAGCTCTATTAAAACTAATTCTTCACTGGCATCTCAGAGCGTAGCCTCAAGAGCTGGAGCTTCCTCAGGCAGCACCAATTTCACGTCAACAGAGTGACTTTTGGAATGTGTAGAAGAATCAACATGACATTTTGCATGGCTCAATAGGTTACCTCGTTTGTTAAAAACTTTGCCACACTCAACACAACCAAAAGTACCTTCCTCTGCATGAGTCTTTTTGTGTGTTGCCAGATACCAATGGAAGTGGAAGCTTTTTCCACATATATCACATGTAAATGGTTTGTGCTCACTGTGTGATTTGAGGTGTTTCTGGAGCATGGCTTTGTCACCATAACTCTTTCCACAAATTCCACAAACATGGGGACGATCACCTGAGTGAGAACGCCTATGTTTAGCAAGATCAGCTCGACGAGAAAATTCACGCCCACATTCACTACATGTAAAACGTTCACCAGCATGTACCTTTAGGTGAATGTTTAGGTTTGTCTTCCATTTGAATGACTTTCCACACACATCACACGTAAAAGGAGCCTCCTGTGAATGAACCCGTCGGTGGTCTGAAAGATGTGATCGTACACGGAACCTCCGTCCACAAGTACCACACATGAACGGACGTTCACCCGAATGTGTACGCATATGTGACTCAAGATTCCGTTTATCCCCGAAAGCTTTACCACATGTGATGCATGGATATGGGCGTTCACCAGTGTGTGTTCGTCTATGTCTTTCAAGTTTCCCACGCACGCTAAAAGCCTTGCTACAAAACTCACATGAGAAGAGTCCTGCATGAATGCGTTGGTGTAGTGTCAAGTCCCAACGAAGCACAAAACTTTTGCCACATTGTTCACAGCTATGAGGACGTACCTGAGTGTGCACCCCCATGTGAGCATTCAAGTTACTGCGGCGCATGAATGATTTGCCACACTCGGTGCATGGGAATGGTTTCTCTGGGCGGGGAGGATTAATGCTCTCACCTCCAACTGCTGCTTTGTATCTGTCAAACATAATCTAAGGTTTAGGATTTTCAAGATTCTGTTACATACTTATCATAATTCTCCTCAAGTATCCTTAAAAATGTATATCATCAAAGTATGAATTTATTTTCTGGAGTGAAATAATGAATATATTATCCTTGTTCAGTCTTCTTGGTTTCTGTAACTTATGGGCCTACACTTATGCATTATACAATACATTTTCATACCAGCAAAAACTAAAGGGAGTTCATGTTGACTGTGGTCTTCTGGGTTGTGATGCCATGTGGTGAAGTGATTTCACCCTTAAGATGGAGGCAATACATTCCTCTGAAACATCATTAACCACCTACAAGACCACACAGCATCACAACACAGAAAACTACAACCAAAATCAGAACCTCATACCACACAAAGGTAATCCATACAATCCTAAATGAGTTTATTTACTGCTTCTCTCATCCCCTCAATGAACTGTATGGATATCATACTAAAATAGGCAAGAGACTTCTTCCTTACTGTCCAACAACAATAAAGAATCATCATCTGCAGAAT